TCTTGCTATGGTGTGTTGACCGGAGACAGACTTTCACCAGATATAATCTAGTTATGGTGTGTTAACAAAGGCAGGCTTTCTCCAGATATAATCTAGTTATGGTGTTTTAACAAGGGGCAGACTTTCTCCAGAGATAATCTAGTTATGGCGTGTTAACACGGGGCAGGCTTTCTCCAGATATAATCTAGTTATGGTGTGTTGACCGGAGACAGACTTTCTCCAGATATAATATAGTTATGGTGTGTTAACTGGGAACAAACTTTCTCCAGATATAATCTAGTTATAGTGTGTTGACCGGAGGTAAGCTTTTCTAGATATAATCTAGTTATGGTGTGTTTACTGGGGACAGACATAATCTAGCTAACCCGACTCGAAAAGAAGTACTAAATATAATATAAAAAAAACATACTCGAATACTGGTTCACAAATATGTAAAGTTAAATCATTTTATAATTAACTTATAATTAATTTATTTGAACCAAGGGTTTTTATCTACAGTAAATACTAGAAGGCGCTTAAAGAGGCGTAGCTAATAGACTTATTATTTATTTTTCTAATTATCAATAAAGACAGTCATTTCACATCAATCTCTTTGAAAGTAAAGTACGTCTGTAATTCTTGTGGTAATGCACCACACACACACTAGAATGGTTTTACACGTGGTGTTATATTAACTGTAAATAGAGGTGTTACGGTGATCATTTATTAAATGAAAATATTTTATTTTCTTCCAAATAGGAACGGAAATGTAAAAGACGATGTTTATTTATCAGGAATATTTCAGTATTACTACTGTTACGACAACGCAGGTCACGTGACCCTTGTATCACACCACTTCCTTCTCGAACCTTCATGAAATATCGATATCGGTATTCTTTTATGTATAAGACGGTTACAACGTGACGGAGGCAATGTAATGAGTAATTGAATGTATGCGGACAGAATATTGTTGAGCACGTGAGAAGTTCGTTGTGAATTATAGCGTTTGTTATAGCGCGACTGTTGACATTAAGTGTGTCGTAAAGTTGTATTCAGAAAGAACAAACCAGTTTTATTTAAGAAAGGACTTGTATCGGTAAAGTTTGCACATAGAAATAAATCTGATAGATGATGTATTCTTAACGTTGCATGAATCCTGTAGATATTTCTACTAACGTACCATTCTGTAGTTTGTATCCTATTTTTATCTGTCTGCCTTGCAATTAGGATAATCTTTATTTTCAGCATGGTTGCTGCTAAAAAATGTTTAATCTAAAGTATTGAGATGCTACTATATTACACAATCTTTCGTCCAGATATATATACATTTCAACATTAAATAGAAATGATATACGACTTTTGTTATCCTTTATATCACATTAAAACTTTCTTACAGACTTTTGTTGCCCTTTACATCACATTAAAACTTTCCTACAGACTTTTCTTGTCCTTTACATCACATTAAAACTTTCCTACAGACTTTTGTTGTCCTGTGCATCACATTAAAACTTTCCAACAGACTTTTCTTGTCCTTTACATCACATTAAAACTTTCCTACAGACTTTTGTTGTCCTGTGCATCACATTAAAACTATCCTACAGACTTTTCTTGTCCTTTACATCACATTAAAACTTTCCTACAGACTTTTCTTGTCCTTTTCATCCCATTAAAACTTTACTATTTGAGGTTGTGTTTGATATATATATACGTATATCATTTCTATTTGAGGTTGTGTTTGATATATATATACATCACATTAAAACTTTCCTACAACACAGAACAACAAAAGTGTGTAGGAAAGTTTTAATGTGATACACAGGACAACAAAGGTCTGTAGGAAAGTTTTAATGTGATTCAAAGGACAACAAAAGTCTGTAGGAAAGTTTTAATGTGATACACAGGACAACAAAAGTCTGTAGGAAAGTTTTAATGTGATACACAGGACAACAAAAGTGTGTAGGAAAGTTTTAATGTGATACACAGGACAACAAAGTCTGTAGGAAAGTTTTAATGTGATACACAGGACAATAAAAGTCTGTAGGAAAGTTTTAGTGTGATACACAGGACAACAAAAGACCGTAGGAAAGTTTTAATGTGATACACAGGACATACAAAACAGATTCTGATCTTGGTAAAGGTTAATAATTTGAGATGCATGTGTACGTTCTAATTTTTTCTTTTTATATGCATCACAGCTACACATTTATAACTTTCTAATTCTGGGATTTATCAAAGAATATGTGTATTTTATAGAACACACTAAATCAAAACAAGCATCATAAAAATAATCTGGGCTAAGATGCTTGTCGCTACCTAGAAATTAATTTGGGATATTTAAATTTCACTTACGTGATTGGGTCATTTCCTTAAATAACGCCATTGGATGAAATAAAGTTTTAATTGATAAATTTATGACCATCAGATTTAAGGTATAAAGAGCTCAGCTATTTTCTATTTTCAGCAAAACAGTTAGTCAATATTAAATTATTAATTATTTCCTTGTCTAATAATTTTCTCACAATACTGTTTTCGATCTTATTAAACTTAATAGTTATTAAAACCGCAGTCTTGTTAGAAATTTTAAAAAACCTATGAGCAAATATAATTAGCTTGATATTTTCACATTTTCAAGCATGCAGATATTTTCAGCCTACTCTTTGACATTAAACATTCAGCGTCATCTATCGGAATTATTATTAATCACAATTCCCACAGTTAAACTACAAAAAAAAAAAATACATTTTATTATTTTTCAAGAATAACAACTTTTATTCACGAATATACGAAGATAATAAACAATAAGAATGAACAAAAAACGTTATACACATTCTATAAGTTTTCTCGAATCGGTCAGTATCTTTAGAAATTACCAAAACAACACAATACTACAAAGTAAAAAAAAATTAATTAATGTGATGATCCATAAAGAAAATATTTTCTGATGCTTGTGTTACATATATAACAATGAAAAATAGAAAAAATCTACATTATTGTGTGTTTGAGCTTGTCAAAGACACCCGTAATATAACACCAAAGCTAATTTTACATATTTCAAGTGTGAGAAGAAATAAATATAAACAGTTATTATTACGTGTTATTGTAGGGATATACGAGTTTGACTAGTTTTACAAAGACGTTTAATATATAATCTATGTCGATGTTTTTCATGCCAGCTGTCCATTAGCTATAGAGCACACTAGTCAGCCTCAGTTGGAAATCCTTGTACAATAGTTTGCCTCCGAGCGGAACACGCTGAACAAACATTTCCATGTTCATCAAGCATAAGGCTTTCCCATTCATAAGGAAACGTTCTAATTTTACCGAAGGTAAACGATGACATGATGACATGTGTTTCAGCCACGAGGCTACGTGGTCACGTGTCCACTGCCGCGGATCTACAAATAATCAAACAAGCAGGATGTAGCAAAACATTTCAAGAATTTTACCTTTACATAAAACAACATGTTCTCATGGAAACTACTGACTGGTACCTATACATAAAACAATATGTTCCCATGGAAACTACTGACTGGTACCTATACATAAAACAATATGTTCCCATGGAAACTACTGACTGGTACCTATACATAAAACAATATGTTCCCAAGAAAACTACTGACTGGAACCTATAGATAAAACAATATGTTCCCATGGAAACTACTGACTGGTACCTATAGATAAAACATTGTTTTACGTATAGGTACCAGTCAGTAATTTCCATGGGAACATACTGTTTTATCTATAGGTACTAGTCAGTAGTTTCCATGCGAATACATTCTTTTATGTATAGGTACCAGCCAGTAGTTTCCATGGGAACAAACTATGTTCCCAAGAAAACTACTGACTGGAACCTATAGATAAAACAATATGTTCCCATGGAAACTAGTGACTGGTACCTAGTTACATAAAACAGTATGTTCCCATGGAAACTAGTGATTGGTACCTAGTTACATAAAACAATATGTTCCCATGGAAACTACTGACTGGTACTTATAGATAAAACAGTATGTTCCCATGGAAACTACTGACTGGTACCTATAGATAAAACAGTTTGTTCCCATGGAAACTACTGGCTGGTACCTATACATAAAATAATATGTTCCCAAGAATAATACTGACTGGAACCTATACATAAAACAATATGTTCCCATGGAAACTACTGAATGGTACCTATACATAAAACAATATGTTTCCAAGAAAACTACTGACTGGAACCTATAGATAAAACAATATGTTCCCATGGAAACTAGTGACTGGTACCTAGTTACATAAAACAATATGTTCCCATGGAAACTAGTGACTGGTACCTAGTTACATAAAACAATATGTTCCCATGGAAGCTAGTGACTGGAACCTATAGATAAAACAATATGTTCCCATGGAAGCTAGTGATTGGTACCTATACATAAAACAATATATTTCCTTGGAAGCTAGTGACTGGCTTAGATGGGAAATAATTTATTACTTACAACTATTTATTTTTGACGAAACCCAATAAAAGTGTGTTTTAATATTAAGATGATTTCACTCAGCCATAATGTTATTTTCCATCGCTAGAAAAAGGAAAACAATTGTATAAAATATCTTCTTTGTTAAGTAAACACTTTAAGTAAATCTCCTTAAGATTACTATTACAGTCTAGTTAGCTATCTTAATATGTCTAGTTAAAGTATATTTGTCATCATATGAAATAAATTAACAAAAAGTATCCTAACAAAAATATTTATAGTTTTTGAAGCACAACATCTGTAGTTTTAAATTGTTGTGAAAATAGCCTCGACACTTCGAAAAACTAAAAACGTTTATTTTAAAAATTCTTCTGTCTAACATTTGTAAATGAAGTCACTTTAAATAATAATTACCTCTTGGAAGAGGTGGCTGACTTGTTCCTTTGGTAACCGCAGGAGATGATTCCCTTGACAACCGAAAGTTACTCTTCTCATCCGACCAAGAGTCATTGAATTTGTTACCACGAGAATCGGTAAGTGGAAGAACAGTGAGTACGGAAACACCGTGGCACGGACAGGCTGGGGACTCTGGTATTAGCGCGGAAGGATACATTATCAGACTGTCAGACCTGCATAGATAACAACGAATGTTGAGTTTTGTATACTTAATGATAATAAATATTCGTAATAGTTTAACATTCATAGATGTTTTAACAGTTAAAACAAACCAAGCAAGTAAAAAAATTGATATTTAATAGTTTATCTTTTCTTTATATTCATTACCCCCACCAAACTTACTCGACAATATTAATAACGAAAAACTTATAAACACAAGTAAATATACCATCATCAAACTTCAGAATTTTGTTGAATTACACATAACGCATTGTTTAAATGTCTTTATATCAAACACAAACTAATAAACCAGTAACAGCGACGACAAAAAATATCGGGACAGTGCTCAAACACGGAATAGGAGAAAGTACGATTTGTCTAAATACGAACAAAATACGTGTCCCACGTCCAATGGTTCATATATTTTAAAGGTTATGTAAGTAACTATTTGTTTTTCCGTTAAAGTATTTCTAAGCATGTTTTCACATTCTAATATATTTAACGCTATTAACACTAACAAAACTACAAGGTTGGTGGAAAACACGTTATTTCATTGACAGCTATTGTAACTTTTTAAAACTTATCAACTGTCTAGTACATAAACTCAACACGTCATTCAACGTTACCGACCAGTATAACCTACTTGGATAGAGAGAACCCGTAGAAACCGCTCGCCTTGTTTGCTGAAATCTGTACGTCTGACACGCGAAGTCCAGCAATGCTTCAGATCGATGTGCAAGAAAAAATAAGAGGCAGCTGTTTGGAGCCCTCACAGCAGACAACACCTGCCTACACATAGATTCCATGCGACCCCTATAACTTGCTTTCTCTCTCTCTCTTTTTAAAGTTAAAGGTGGCCCCCAAGAAGCTGACTCATTGGAACGTGTGCTTGAAGTAAAAGCAAGATAAAACTAAGCACGCGCCGAACACCTGCTTGCACGTGTAACCCGCACGAGTAGTTTTTGTATCTGTGTAAATAGCTGGCAGTCACCAATATCTCAGTATAAAATACGATTGAATCAGTATTTAAATATAACAAAAACTGTTGATCGCGATTCAAATTATAGCAGTGTGTAGTCTAGTAGCGTGGTTTGTCCCGACAAATTATAGCAATGTGTAGTCTAGTAGCGTGGTTTGTCCCGACAAATTATAGTAATATGTAGTCTAGTAGCGTGGTTTGTCCCGTCAAATTATAGCAATGTGTAGTCTAGTAGCGTGGTTTGTCCCGACAAATTATAGCAATGTGTAGTCTAGTAACGTGGTTTGTCCCGACAAATTATAGCAATGTGTAGTCTAGTAGCGTGGTTTGTCTCGACAAATTATAGCAATGTGTAGTCTAGTAGCGTGGTTTGTCCCGACAAATTATAGTAATATGTAGTCTAGTAGCGTGGTCTGTCCCGTCAAATTATAGCAATGTGTAGTCTAGTAGCGTGGTTTGTTCCGACAAATTATAATAATCTGTAGTCTAGTAGCGTTGTTTGTCCCGACAATTATAGCAATGTGTAGTCTAGTAGCGTGGTTTGTCCCGTCAAATTATAGCAATGTGTAGTCTAGTAGCGTGGTTTGTTCCGACAAATTATAATAATCTGTAGTCTAGTAGCGTGGTTTGTCCCGTCAAATTATAGCAATGTGTAGTCTAGTAGCGTGGTTTGTTCCGACAAATTATAGCAATGTGTAGTCTAGTAGCGTGGTTTGTCCCGACAAATTATAGCAATGTGTAGTCTAGTAGCGTGGTTTGTTCCGACAAATTATAGTAATGTGTAGTCTAGTAGCGTAGTTTGTCCCGACAAATTATAGCAATGTGTAGTCTAGTAGCGTGGTTTGTCCCGACAAATTATAGTAATGTGTAGTCTAGTAGCGTGGTTTGTAGCTAGAAAACTAACTGTGAAGGCTATTAGTGTTCAACAAATGCCTGTAATTATCGACAGATAACAGAGTCATTCAGTTCCCCGTGTCTTCTCATGCATTCTACACAAGGCAGTGATGAAGAAGTTAAACTCATTGTAACTTCGAAACATGTAGAGTTATCAACTTTATGAAGGCCATAGATAGGCCTAAATAAAATGTTTTTAATTGTGTACCAGTTTAACGTTGAATATTATTTATGATTTTAACTTTATACACAAGTGCCAAGATACTATAACCTTATCTTAGTCACTTTAAGTATATCTTACACTGTTTCTACCCAGTTTCAACAGCGTCTATTACGTTTTTCAAACGCGTGATGGACGCTACCATGTTGAACCTTGTTTTATACATCTCAACCGTGTTTTGCTTTTTTGTTCAGTTGTACCTTAACTATCGATAATTTTAGACTTTTGTACTGCGTATTATATAAATCTTGAGGTTACCCCGCCTTCTTCACTCGTATCACACCAATCTAATTCTAACCCCTACCCGTCTAAACCATTTAAACCAATAATATCCTACCATTATGAACGCAGTATTGTCTCGTGATATTTCTGGCTTAACAATAATGGCGGGCAGGTGATTTTGGTTATGACGCAACAGGAAGATCAAGGATTTTGCTGATTGGATTCGATACAGCAATAAGTAGAAATAGAAAAAAATAAAAGAATAGAAACACGGGTAGGTTGACGTTAGACAAAAACTTGGTAAGTCTAAGAAAAATACAAAATATCCTGTAAAAGTAGCGGGTAAACAAAACTGAAGAATTTCAGAGAATCTCGGAACAAGAACAATTAAAAACTAAACCACATACTCCCATACTTCCATTCCGTACTGGTTCCTTAATTAACCGATCTGAGTAATGGCATTAACTCAGCCAACTTTGAATTGTTACGGTTCTATATCGGCCCGGTAATCTGCGGGTCGCGGGTTCGAATCCACGTCACACCAAACATGTTCGCCCTTTCAGCCGTGGGGGCGTTATAATGTGAAGGTCAATCCCACTGTTCGTTGGTAAAAGAGTAGCCCGAGAGTTGGCGGTGGGTGGTGATGACTAGCTTCCTTCCCTCTAGTCTTACACTGCTAAATTAGGGACAACTAGCGCAGATAGCCCTCGTGTAGCTTTGCGCGAAATTCTAAACAAAACTTTCGCTGTGTATTTCTTGTGAAACTTAAAGAGTTTAATTATTTTGGTTCACTTCTTTCTCTGCATTTTCCATCATGTCATGTTCATATTGATACAAAAGATTAGAAGAGTTACAAAGAATAAGACTTTTTTTTTTAATTTTCATGCATTGGTTTTACAGCTAGACCATTAAAGTTTGTTGTAAATCTTATTATGTCTTCAGTTTGATTCAAAAATAAAGTACACAGACTTCACTTTAAAGTTTATTGGTGCTTTTGTTCTGTTAGAAAAAGCTGAAAAATTGTTCTAAAGGCATTCATGAATAAAGCCCTCTATCCTTCCTTTGAGAAGGTCTCCAGAACTATTGGAGCTGGCTACAGCACATTTAATTAGAGTCCTGCATTTTCACAATCCCTTTTTTACTTGAATTCAACCACAAACCTCTGGTTGTTCCTATAGTCACTCTAACTAAATTAATCGAAACAACAGTTGGAAAATCATCATATTGAGCTAAGACAATTTGTAAGGGGAAAATTATCCTCAGAAGTCACTCTTTCTCTGATGAACACTATGAGTTCCATTCTAACTCCAGGTGTCAGGACTTGTTGCATTATAACTGGTGTTGCAAGTCTTTCTCCACTGTCTGTATTCTTCATTTCCTTCTTCCCATCATAAAAATACCACTCATTCTCATGTTTTAGGTGGTGGTAGCACACAAAATGTGCTCTCCAGTGTTGTAAGTTGTGCCCACTGGCTTATACCTTCATTGACAAATAATAGCATGCGAAATATTAGTAAAAGCAGAAACTTTTTGAAGAGACTAACTTTAATCTACAAATTTAACCTTTTGGTCATTACTGCATACATTTTCTGAAATATATATCTGTATATGGTAAGGCTTGTTCAAAGTATTATGGCGTCAAGTTTTAGAATAAAAAAGTATTTTTCAAAATAAAATATTAGAAAGTAGACTTAATTGTAACTAACTTTGAGCTTGGTATGAATTCGAAATTTTGAAACAAATAGGAACAAGCATACAGACAGAAGGTAAAAAGTAGTGAGCCGATAAATTAATCTTTACCTTCTTCCTAGGACAGAGAGTGCTGATGGAAGTTCTGTAGGGCTTGATGGGGAGGACAATAATGGAAGTTCTGCAGGGTTTGATGGGGAGGACAATAATGGAAGTTCTGCAGGGTTTGATGGGGAGGACAATAATGGAAGTTCTGTAGGGCTTGAGGGGGAGGACAATAATGGAAGTTCTGTAGGGCTTGTTTTCTGTTTGAGTCTTCTCTTCTGCAACTTCTCTTCTTGACTGAGGGGCTCTTTCTGGGCTGCATCTCCCTATATAATATCGACAATAGCCATTGATGTCAGACTTGCATGTTATATTTTAGTGCCTCTTAGAACATTTAGTGCAATACCTCATATTCTTCCTTATACAATGTCATCTTCTTGGTTATCCTGAACCAGTTTTCAACAGCAGCATTTGTGTCACGTGTCTTTAGCTTCTTCGGCATTTTTCCACACCACAAAGATATTTTGTTGTAATATATGAATCTAGAAGATTAATTAATAAGTTGTGGAGAGGAAAGCACATTTGGTTTTCTTGAGGTGAGGAAATTGTTGTGAAGTTCAGCTTTCATCTTTTTGAGCACGGCTTCTTCAAAAATGAACTCTTCCAAGTCACTTCCTGTGTCCTCTTCACAATGGTCACTCGGAATCTGTATTCTTTGATCAGAAACTGACTTCTGCAGCACAATCACACGGTCCTTTATTTATTGGTTTCCCTTTTGACATTAAAAACAAATGTCATTCTTCTCAGTTGATATTCTCTGTGTTCACTGCATTCTGGATCAAATCAAATGAATACAAAAACGACTGCTTTGCCTCTTTTTTTCGCGTGCACTTTGATGGCCCTCACACTGATAAGCTTGATCATGTGTGCTGCAGGGTATTTGACCTTCACAAGCTAAATAGAATCCTTTTAAATACTCCTGCAGACTTGTCTGATTGAAGGCTAGTGTAGAGACATAAATATGAAGTCAGTTTCCACCTTTTGAGGACTGAGACGAAGCTTGAAGGCATTGGAAAAATTACAAGATACAGAGGTTAACCAATGCTGAATAGGAGGTGTGCTTTGATATGATGATAGCATCTCAGTTACAGGAACCATGCTCATTTTGGTGGGATGTGTTAAAATGCAAAGGACATAGTAAAGAATACTTTTCTTACAGTCCTTAGACTTGGCAACTACAGAACTAGCTGCATCCAGGTAAAGGTAGCAGTTTCAGAAAACTGAATGTCTTTATTTTATATAGTTGAGCATCCGCGTACACGTGAACAACAAATGGAGAAATATCTCTGTACTTTGTATATTGGCATATTTTGTTGAGATGGGGTTCAGTTCCATTTCATCCTGGTATATTTGCACTGTCCAGCAATCCATGTATTCATTTTACTCCAACCTGTTTTCAAGGTTGTTTTTTTTTTCACTTGAAATTTTCTGAATTATTCCAATTGGCTTGACAGTATTTAGATTACCTGCCACAATCTGTTTTGTATCTGCAGTGACCAATTTCTTTGTGCAAAGAGACATGGGTTTCATCTGACCGAGTTGAACTTTCAGTTTTTCTCTCTCTTGCCATCTTGTGTG